ACTTGCTTTTTTCACCCAACAACAAACATGATGTGAAGATCTGCAGTTCTTTTTAAAGGCTCAATTGTATTGTGTTGTATACTACAGATTACACAGGCCCTCCCCACTACGGACCCTTGTCGCCATTTCCCCCCTACGAAAACCATGCCTAACGAACTTTCTTATGAGCCTGTGGGTTTTTTAAGAGAAGATATTTAGGAGTGGATTTTCTGGGTTACAGAATATACATGTTCAAAATTTTTCTTTTTTTTTTTCTTTTTTGAGACGGAGCCTCAAGCTATCCCCCTGGGTAGAGTGCCATGGCATCACGCTCACAGCAACCTCCAACTCCTGGGCTCAAGCAAGTCTCCTGCCTCAGCCTCCCAAGTAGCTGGGACTACAGGCGCCCGCCACAACGCCTGGCCATTTTCTGGTTGCAGCCATCATTGTTGTTTGGTGGGCCTGGGCTGGGGATTCGAACCCGCCACCTTAGGTGTATGTGGCTGGCGCCTTAGCCGCTTGAGCCACAGGCGCCGAGCCAAAATTTTTCATCCTGTTGAAGTGGTTGTACCATTTCCCAGCTTACGAGAGTGCCTTATCCATTTTCAGACTGAACATATTTATCCAAACATTGATGATATTTGTAATGTTTCTATCACACTTTGAAGTGACCTTCTACTTGCCATTAGCATTGAAGGCCGGCCCCTGTTTCTTTCAACACAGTTCTAATTCCAGATGTACTTAAAAATCAGAGATTAGAGAATAAAGAAATGTCAAATTTTCTTATAATTGCTAATTAGTTACAATTATAACTAGAAAGAGATAATTCTGCTCAAAATGGACTGCATTCATTTATATTCCCCAGAAAAAAATTAAAAATAATTTAACTATAAGTCCAGTTAAAAGACCGAATGGACCAGCCAGGCCTGTGTGGGTCGTCTGGAATTATAATTCTGTCAAATCAAGTTGTGTACAATGCCTTTCCCCAAGAAAGTATATGTTTATCAAAGTGGCTACTTAGGGACATTACATACTACTTTTAAAGATATAGCATAATATCGTATTTTTATTTTAAAGATATGGTTTAATTCTTGCACTGTTCCTTAACTTTATGGAGTGGTGAACAGCAGAAAACACGGCCTCCAGGCGACGGGGTCAGGGAGCCATGGTAGAACCTCTTTCTTTGAATCTCCTCACTGGCCACACCAAGGAGGGAAGGAGGGGGCCACTGTGTGTCCCTGTCTGTATTACTGCTCCCTCGTCTTCCAGAGACAATGTGACATATGGAGAGAACAGATGTGCTGTCACAAAAATGGGGTTGTATCAAGAAGCTCCAAAGTGCAAGAAGTTCAGGGAAACATAAAACACCTTTTCCTGGTTCTCCTCATCAAGTTCAATAGAACTTTCACTTCTAACAACAAACATTTTCTGATGACCATGGTGACATATATTTATGATAGAAAATTCAGAAAATATAGAAAAGTACGAAGAAGAAAATAAAAATCATTCATTATTAGACCATCTAAAATAGCAACAGTATTATTAATATTTGGTATATGTCCTTTAGTCTTTGTGTGTGTGTGTGTGTGTGTGTGTGTGTGTGGATAAACACACCTCAGCTGTAGACATTTGGGGTGTGGGAAATAAATAATACACTCAGTCCCCTCTAATTATTTGTCCCATCCTCCCCCCACTCCATTGCCCCTGCCGACTTCCCAGGAGAAATAAAATGAGATTCGTAATCACTGGGAATTAAAGAACTGTCAAAATACATGAATTTGGTCATGTTGGCAAAGAGCCACGTGTCGGAGTAAAGGTCAGAGGATTTACCTACCCAAGGAACAAAGAGTGAACAGAGATGGCGTTGACCTTCTGATTCTGAGCAGCCCTCTGTTTGCCTGCCCTGTCTCTGGTTCCCCGAGGAAATAGACTCCTGGACTTTTGGTATCTCCTAAGCTTCCTCTGTGGGCCGTGGCTGTCTCCCTGTTCCTGGAGGATGCTGGGCTCTCGCGGTTTTCCTTATCCCAGTCTCTCCATGCTCCCTCCTTTCTTCCTGGCAGTCTGCCCAGCCAGTGGGGCTTTTGTCATCCATTCCAATGTCTTCCACTGCCACTTGACGTCACCTTCTGTTCTGTCCTACGTAATTCTGGGTAATTTTTAGAAGAGGCTGTAAAGGTCACAGTCCCATCAGAGAAAGGGTTTGCTCACTGCCTCCCTTCTGGGACTACATCGGGCAAAGTTGAACTTCAACTTTGAGAGCTCTGCGGGCCCAGGATGCAAAAGGCTCACAGGACACTCTCACCCTAAATTCACAGGAATTGGCAAAATTCAGCTCCCTTAATCGAGTATATATTCTCCTACAATTAAAAAAACAGAAAACAAGACCGTGTTCTTCACTTTGGAATGACGATCTTGTGTGTCTGTTGCAAGGAACAAGCATGTGCCACATCACCTCCCGGAGTCTTTTCCGGTCCCAGGCTTGTGGGACATTTACACAGAAATACACCAGAGCCACAGGCCTGGAGCAGACAGGCGCTAACTCTGCTCACTGGGCAACCACTCGCGTTACCTGGCCGGCTACTTCGACTCTCGCCCATTCTTCTGAACACTCCTGTCAACATTTTCCTTCCCCGCTGCCGATTATGAAGCCTGGTAATCTAACTTTAGAGTCTTGAGGACAGTATTGCTTAAAATTAGGTTTGGCTGTTGGTCACAGTAAAAAAAAATGACAGAGGATTAAAGGAGATGAAAATTTCTCTCTCTCCCTGGGTGGGGAAAAACCAACTCAAACTGTTTTTCCTCTGCTCTCTCACCACTACAATAATCAGCACAGGAGGCTTCTGTGACCAAATGTGGGGCTGTTTCTCCCCACACACCAAGCAAGTCATCGATTCTGCAGAGGCCGCCTCTAATTCAGTTCCTACACCGTCTACCTGGAGACAGCTGGAGACCAGACCACCCCTCCTTTCTACCTATTGCAAGTCTAGGCCTCAGGAACAGCTGTGGTTCCCCATGGCTTCAAGTTGGGGTTCCCATGACCTCCCTTTCAGTTTCAACTAATTTGCTAGAACTGCTCAGAGAACTGAAGGAAACACAGTTGTCAGTTTATTACCAAGGATATTTTAAAAGCAGCCAGATGAAGAGATACACAGGGTAAAGTCTGAAGGGGTCCCTAGAGCCAGAGCTTCTGTCCCCTGGAGTTGGGGTGCACTACCCTCCCAGCATGGGGATGAGTTCTTGTTCACCTTCCCGTCAGCCTCCGTGTGTCCAACTGTTCAGATGTTCACTTAGCCCTGTGCTCTTGAACCTTTTGTGGAGACTTCCTGGGATAGGCATGCTTGCAGCATGGACAACTGGACAAAAGGGTGTGATCTAATACTAATAGGCTGAGTGGGGACACCCAGCAAGACCTGCCTGTTTGGATTCTTCCGGGCCTCTCTTGGTAGCATTCCTTCCTCCAGGGGATGGGGGAGCACCCTCTCTGGAATGAGGGTTTTATGACCCACAATCAGATTAGGGTCCTGCTTTGGACAGGTGAAAGGCGGGCAGGAGAAAGTCAGAGAGAGAGGGGAAGAGATTCTGTTTCCTGAGGCCTGAAGTGCCCCTGTATTATAGCAAAAGACCATACTAAGGGCTATGGGAGTTAGTATAGGCCAGGATCCATGGACCAGAAGCTGTGTGTGATAATGTCACAGCCCCTCATATCACCATCTGGGGTAGGAAGTAGGAGCCAGCGCTGCAGCTCTGCTCGGAGGCGTCCTCAGGCATCAGCTCCATCTATCCTGAAGTTTTAACACACACAGCCTCCATATTGGAGATCAACACTGGGTCCGGGCAGGCACTCCAGCTGTCACATCCACACTCTAAGTATCAGGATGGAGAACAGGGATGGGAAGGCCACCTCTGCCAGGAAATTCCCAGAAGCTTCAACATGGCACTTTGACTCCAATTCTGTCAGTCACATGGGTACACCCAGCTACCAGAGAGGCTTGGAAATGTCATTTTTATGTGGGTGGCTGGGTGCCAAGATAAATATTTAATTACTGTAGGAAAAGAGGAAAATGGCTATTGGGGAAAAACTGTCAGTTTCTACCAGGAGAACGTGGAATTCCAAGAACCAACTATTAGATTCTAAGTGACCCGGAGGGGTTTGTAGCCTCAGGCATTGCCACTCAGTGCTTTTGTGGGGACTAGCGCTATTCTGAAAGAGCACAGCTTAGGAGAATGGGGTGTATGCCCAGGGACAGGCAGAGAGGGCAACTAAGAGGCTGCCCAGAGGGCTGGGGCTGGACCACAAACAAACATTACCCTCATCACCATTTCCCCTGGGCCCTGGCAAGGATATGTGTATGACCACATCCTCCTCAGCAGCAGGGACGGACAATGACTGTGGAAATAAGTGTCACCCATGAGTGCTGTGACGGATCCCACAGGGCTGACTGACCACAGTACTGCCATTCACGAAAAGTAGCTTCTTCAGCACCCCCAGGAACTACGCCAGAGGCTTTATACACATTCTGTTATTTCATGCTCACAGCAACTTATTATCATTTTTCATTATCATACCATTTTCCAAATGTGAAAACAGCCTCAAGACTTTAAATGACTAAATCACATAGCTAATAAGTAGAAAGAGGGTCTTAATCCATTGTGCTCTCTGTGTAGAACAAGTCTAGAGAGGTTCAAGTTCTAAGCATGTACTTTCTTGAAAAATGTGTATATCGACTTTTGTAAAGTGAATCACGCAAAAGGCAAGAAAATGGGTGGCTGCTATTTAAAAGCTGTGAACACTTCATAAAACAAAGCATTGTTTATGTAAAAACAGGGACTTCCCAAGTTCATTGCCGAAATCTAGATTTTTATGTATCAGGTTGAAATGGAGCAAGACGTTCTTCTATTTACTCATCTAAATACATTTATCTTTGAGGTTTACTTTTTCTTTTTTTGCTATGACCCAACTGTGATTTTGTTAATAATATTGCAATGTTTCCATAATTCAACTGATGCTAATTTCTTGATAGACTGAGAATACAAAGGATGGTGAGCTCTCCACGGAACAAAGTGAAAATGACTTAGCACCGATAAGTCTCAGCCAACACCCTGACCGGCCCTTCAAGCAGAACAAAGAGACAGGGTAAAATTAAATCATTTTATTAATGACTCAAGGAAGTGGATTAAAACACTGTGAGGGGAAACTGAGTGTCTGATTAATATGTAGTTTACATGTTAACTCAAAAATATTTGATGTCGGGGCGGTGCCCGAAGCTCAGTGGGTAGGGCACCGGCCACATACAGCAAGGCTGGCAGGTTCAAACCCAGCCCAGGCCAGCTAATACAACAATGACAACTGCAACAACAACAACCACGAAATAGCTGGGCGTTGTGGCGGGAGCTTGTAGTCCCAGCTACTTGGGAGGCTGAGGCAAGAGAATCGCTTTAGCCTAGGAGTCTGAGGTTGCCGTGAGCTATGACACCACGGCACTCTGACCCAGGGCGACAGCTTGAGACTCTTTAAAAAAAAAAAATTGATGTCAGAATGAAGGACTGTCAAAACAGGTTAGAAAACTATGTTTTTAATGAGAGTAATGGCTAAGAGAAATTTCTTTTTATATTTATATACATATAATTATTTTCCCTTCCATACATTTTTAAAGGGAAGTGATCATGAAACTCCTTGAAGTTAAATACAATGACTTCAATTTGTATGTGAATTTTCTGAACCAACTTGAAGTGAAAGGCATTATTAAATCTCTCTGCTGCTAAAGGTACAGCTATGCGATGATGCTGCGGTTGCTGGGCTTGGATGGTGGCCCCCAGCCCAGTGACAGGAATCCTGTCCTCACAAGATGGGCCTACTTGTCCTTTCTGTATCTGCGCCACCTGCGCATCAGGGAACTCCAGGTATGCGGCTGACAGCAGAAAAGCCTGGTTGTCTAGAAAAGAACGGTTCTGCTATTGCAACAGCAGAGCATTTTTAAGCTTTTCCCCTTTGTTTTTTTTTTTAAACACGAACTCAGGCCCTTTCCGGGGCAGTTTGTTCCTTTCTCCACAGTGGGGTCGACCTGCCGCCCTTAAGGCTCTCATCAGGTTTTCTCTGTAGGGCAGGGCAGGGCAGGGCAGAGACGGGCTCCTGATTCTGTTCTTCCTTTGCTGCAGCGCACCTGCTTAGGAATTCTGAACTACTTCAGATCTGTGGAGCGAACCCTGACAATCAATGCTTCGGGCCTTACCTCGGTTTCAGGGAACCTGGTCCCTACCAGGGAAGCGAGTTCCCGGGTAAATATAGCCGAAGGAGGCTTGGGCACCTCGCATGGCCTGGGATCTCACCACTATGTCCATGGGACACCTGCTGAGCGCTCGGTGAGCCATCCTCCTGGGGCTTTCTTCCTTGACCATCGGCCTCCCTCTTTTTAGCACCTGGAATCAGTTAATGTAATAAAGTAACAGGTGGGAGTTTCTTAAGAGAAAATGGCTTAAAAAAATGTAGTAAAAGGGGAAATGGCTTTTAACCACACACCCCCCCCCCACGATGCCTGCTTGAGATCAAGACACAGGCAGAGAGTACCCTAAAAGCAGGATTGGAGGCCGTGATGTTGGGGAGCTATTTCAGAACACGGGGGACCATTTCTGTTATCCTGGCCTGAGAGCCACATCCTGTCAGAGAAGCTCTTGTAAGACCCGCCCCAGCATTCCTAGAGATATCTCTTTACTTCTTGCCTATTTTCTAAGCCCCTAATGGAAAAAAAAAAGTAGACTAAAAAACAGATGTAGAAAAGATTTGAAAAAGCCGAACAATAAAAAAATCTTTTATCCCTCCACCCGAAAACCTACTTGCCCCTTGGCGCTTTTCATGGCTCGGGAACATGTTTTTCTACAAAGTCTATACATTTTCAGCCCTTCCTAACAAAAGCCCAATAAGAAAAAATTCATATTAACTCCCCTTCTTTGGGAATAAAGCAGAGAATGCCTACATTTTATGGGCCTATTTTAGACGCTCTTGTAATATTTCAGTCTCAACCCTCTAGAAAACTTATTCCTGGAGCTAAACGTTAATATGAATTTTATCTTCTTAAAAATTTTAGATTACCAAATGTGAAAAATAAAATCTATTTAGCTACTCTAGAAAGTCTTTTTTTTTTTTTTTTGAGACAGCGTCCTATTTTGTTGCCCTCAGTAGAGTGCTGTGGCATCCTAGCTCTCAGCAACCTGAAACTCTTGGGCCCAAGCTATCTCTTGCCTCAGTCTCCTGAGTAGCTGGAACTAACAGGTGCCTGCCATGATGACGGGTTTCACTCTTGTTCAGGATGGCTTTGAACTCCCGAGCTCAAGTGATCCACCCACCTGGGGCTCCTAGAGTGCTAAGATTACAGGTGTGAGCCATCGCGCTGAGCCCAGCAAGTCTTATTCTAAGCTAGTGTGATTCCTGACTTAGGCCTGCCATGTCTAGAAAATCTTAGAGTTAACTGTCATTCGTGTGCTCACAGTTCAGAGCAGTACAGTCTGATGGAAATATGATGCAAGCCACATACAGAATTTAAATTTGTCTAGGGGCCAGAAAATAAGAACAAAGAAACATGTGATATGAATTCTGATAGTATGTGTAGCACAATGTAAGATGCTATAATCTCCATGTGTAATCATTACTAAGAAGTCATTGATAAGATAGTATGCATTTGTTATCCTGAGTCTTCAGAATCTGATGTATGTTTGATATGGACAGCACATTTCAGCTTGGAAAAGCTGCATTTCAAATGCTCACTAGCAGCTGGTATCAAGAGGCTGCCGCACTGCACAGTTCAGCTACAGATACTAGGAAGTGTTTTCTTCCTTCCCCACCCCAGTCACCTAGAGGCCCACCTTTATACCCTTCCCTCCCCTCTGTGCACTTCTCTCCTAACAAGCACTCCCAACTCCCGTCCCCTCACCACCCAGACTTCCTCTCAGATCCTCCTCTACCCCGCTGCCTTCTCCCCGGGATCCCGGCTCCTTAGGCTGAGTTTGCCCCTCACTGGAGCTAGAGAGGACGGTTTAGCCACTTTAAAAACAAACACACCTGGCTCTGCGCCTGTGGGTCAAGCAGCTAAGGCGCCAGCCACATACACCTGAGCTGGCGGGTTCGAATCCAGCCCGGGCCCGCCAGACAACAATGATGGCTACAACCAAAAATAGTTGGGCATTATGGCAGGTGCCTGTAGTCCCAGCTACCTGGGAGGCAGAGGCAGGAGAATTGCTTGAGCCCAGGAGCTGGAGGTTGCTGTGAGCTCTGATGCCACAGCACCCTACCCAGGGGGACAGCTTAAGGCTCCGTCTCAAAAAAAAAGAAAAAAGAAAAAAAGAAAACAAACACACCTATGAAACAAATACATCTTTGTCTTACTAGTGTTGATCCTACTTATGCAGATATGTTGGATCCTATATATATATATACACATATATACGTTATAATAATGTCTATTAGCATACTGACATATACTGCCATATATATAAAAAATACATATGTATATATAATGTCTATTAGCATATTAATAGCCACATACAGAATTTTAAATATATACATATTTTTTTTTTCTTTTACCAACAAGCCCTTTCTCCCACCCCATCCCTGTTTATTCTGGGGTGAGGTGGAAGAGACAAATACTATCCTGCCCCATTGTAGGAGGAACTTCTCAGGAGTAAAGAAATATTACTTTCCTACGCCCTCATTAATTACAGGGATTACAGTACCATGAAAAGCTCTCAGCTGCTATTACTTCAGTGTACCTTGAGAAAACCACTCAAGGAAGTGGCCTGTTGTCAGTCTTTAATAGGACCATGGGGTTTAGCTACACCCCATGGGTGTGGTCTTGTAAGCATTCAGGGTACCTTGGCCTGGTTAGTGTGATCCTTTCCTGTGCAGGAACGGCAGGCACAGGTGCTAATCTGTCATGCTGATCTCACCAGCCCCAGCACCAGGCCTGCTGGCAGTAAGACTACTGGGCTTACCATACCTCAGAGAAATGCCTAAGATGGAGACCCCTTTCCTTTCCCTGGGCCCAGAGTATTTGATCCCCTGAGGAAAGTCTTGGGCTAGTATTAACAAATGTTCAATTCCACAATGCCTAGATGATTTCTAGGCAGAGAAGTCAAGTTTGATTCCAAAGTTTTGGCCTGAGGATTTGAAAGTTTTGAGTTGTCATCAACTGAGATATGGCTGGAGCAGATTTGTCAGGAAGATCAGTACTATCTCAGTTCAGAATGTGAAACGTTTCAGATGCTTATGAGATGTTCCGGTGGCAAAAGGAAGTAGTAGAGAGTTGGCTATGTGCCTTCCATGCAGTAGATACGCAATACCTGCTTGTGAGATCACAAAAAGACCATGGACGTGACAGTGTTTTGCAAAGTATATCTCGCTGTTCAAATGCAGAACAATTAGCAAACTAAGAGGACAGGTAGAAGAGATGAGATCTTTGATTTTCTTTTTAAAAGATTGTAGCCCATGGATTGAGTCATTCATTCAACAGATTTTGATGGGATTTGGGGGCTGAACTATTGTTATCTGAAATTAATGTAAGATGATTTAGAAAAAGGTAAACTAGCCCAAAAAATATTATCTATATTACTAAGATGCCTGAAATTCACATTAACAAGTGATGGCAGAAGCTAAGGTTGAAATGAAAGAAAGATGGGCCATGCATCAGCAAGGAGCTACCTTGTAATTGAATTACTCCCGTAATTCTGCAAGGCGTTACCTTGACTTCAGTTAATTTTCAGACTTGAAAATATATGAATTGTTCCTAAGATCATATTTTATACCCAAACAGGGAATTATTACCTTCTCCTTTCTGCTCCTCCTCCAAGCATAATATTGAAGGATCAACTCTCCAGAACAAAACTTTTAGCAGGAGCGTTTTCCACATGACTGTGAAAACAATTAAAAAGGAAATAAGGAAACGTCATAGTGACTAGGCCATAACCCTGCGTGAAGCAATTTGGCCATCTGATCTTTGAAGTGCATCTCCTGTGCAAAGTCTAGCAGAAAGAGAAGGAACATGAATGCTTATATGGAGATCTGAACTCTGGGGCATGGGGCGGGACAGTGAACCATGACCATTTAAACAGACGGTGGCATTGGAGTAGGCAAGTTGACAATCCTATTGTTTTCTATCAGCTTTGGAATCCTGAAAGTCTTACAGAATTCCTCTGAACAAGAGCATTTGGAAAGGTCTTTTCCAGTAAAGTGGATAAAGTATAACACATTAAATTGCCCCTCTTTCCTCAAAGGAGAGCTCCTTTCATATAATGAGACAGTTGCTAAACACCAATAGGAGCCAGCGTGGTCATTTATAAATTTAAGACTATTTAATTTCTGTATGCAACGTGTCATTTCCTTAGCATCCTCTCTCTTTTTCTGCTGGTACCAATCATTTTGAAAGAAGTGATAATTTCACTCTTAGAATTCTAGTCAAAGCAAGCTCCTAGTTATTAAAAGCTTTTATGACTAAAGAACAACACAAAGCAAAAGGAAACAACATCCTGCTAGAGAAACGCCTAACTCTGAGATATCTTTTTGATGAACTATTCTGAACCATTGTTGTCATTTAGAAATGCTCACACTTTTACTCATTAGAAGGCTTTTAACTTTCTGCTTGCGTGATTAAGAATCTAGAACATAACAGACATAATGGCACATAAAAATTGAACTTGATACTGTAAGCACAGGCTTTTATAAGAATGAATAGATGTGAGACGAAAGATTGGGAGCCATAGTTTAAAGGACTCGTGGGTAACAAATTAGAAAATCAGATTGTTTTTCTTAACATCTATCTATCTATCTATCTATCTATCTAGACATATATATTTAAGAAAACAGAAAATGATAGTGCAGGCCAATTGCGGTGGCTCACACCTGTAATCCCAGCACTCTGAGAGGCTGAGGTGAGTAGATTGCTTGAGCTTATGAGTTTGAGACCAGCCTGAGCAAAAGTGAGGTGAAAATAGAAAAACTGAGGCAAGAGGATTGCTTGAGCCCAAGGGTTGGAGGCTGCTGTGAGTTATGACACCACCGCACTCTATCCAGGGCGACAGCTTGAGACTCTATCTGAAAAAAAAAAAGGAAAGGAAAGAAAAATAGCGCTGGTGAGGATATGGAGACATTGGCACTGTTGGTGGGAAGGTAAACGGATGCAGCCACTATGGCGAATGATATAGAAGGTCTTCAAAACATAAAAATAGAGTTACCATGTAATCTGGCAATTCTACTTCTGGTTATGTACCCAAAAGAATTGAAGTCAGGAATTCAAAAAGATATTTGTATGCCTCTGTTCACAGCAGCCAAAGGTGGAAGGAATCCACGTGTCCGTCCACAGACGAGGCAAAGTGGGTGTGTAGGTGCTATGGAACCTAATAATTCAGCCCTAAACAGGAAGGAAATTCCCCAAACACGTGTGGCAACACGAATCCACCTTGAGTGCATTATGCAAAGTGAAATAAGCCCATCACAAAAAGACAAATACTGCAGGGGCCCATTAATATGACTACCCAGAGTTGTCAGATTCACAGAGACAGAAAGCAGAATGGTGGTTTCCAGGGGCTGCAAGGAGGGAAAGATGGGGAGCCATTGTTTAGTGAAGTGGTCCCCAACCTTTTTGGCACCAGGGACTGGTTTCATGGAAGACCATTTTTCCACAGATGGGGGTAGAGGGGAATGTTTTCAGATGATTCAAGGGCATTACATTTATTGTGCATTTTATTTCTATTAGCATTACATTGTAATATCAAATGAAATAACTGTGCAATTCACCATAATGCAGAATCAGTGAGAGCCCTGAACTTATTTTCCTACAACTAGACAGTCCTGTGTGGGGGTGGTAGGAGACAGTGACACACACAGTGTGTTGCTCATGTCTGGAATCTGGTTTTGGTGGTTATCACTGCTGAAAACCCTGGTTCACAAAGATAGGCTGCCGGGACGGAAGCAGGCTTTTCAGTGCTTTTGTGGCAATCTCAGGATATGCCACGTCGACTTCAGTCTAGAACACATGGAGATTTGAAGTTGTTTCAAACTTATCTTTAAGGCTACCGCCATTTGCGATCTCAAGCAATTGTTCCTCTTCTAGCACAAAGTTGATTCACTTGGCTTATTCACAAGTAGGTCATGGCTCCATTCCTTCCCAGTTCAGGGGTCTTTGTGACTGGGAGGTAATGCTTAGACTCTTTTGCGAACTGAGGTGATCACGCCCTCGCTGGGAGAAAGGTGGCCATGGCTCAGTCTCTTTCAAAATCTCTACTAGTGTTTGAAATGTGTAGAAAATCCCAGTGTCCACTCCTCACCCACAGGATTCTGGTTTAACTCTGAGTGCAGCCTCTTTACCTGCTGACTTGAACACAGTCGTCATTCTCCCCTGAAGAGACAGATTGAGTTCATTGAGCAGGTTGAATTCGTCACACAAGTAAGCAAGTTTTGCAACCCATTATGTGTCACCGAAATGTGCTGCCAGTGGTGACATTTTTCTAAACTTCTGGAGCAGCTCTCCTAACTCAGAGACTCTGGCCAGTGATCAGCCTGTAGGAAGCTCCCTTGTGTCATAAGAGGAGACCTGTATCCTCTGCATTCATCTCACAGAGCTGCCCAAACAGATGGCCATGTACCTTAATGTGGTTATTAATTTTAATCACACCCTAAAAAACGTTGTTTAGCTCTGGTGCCATTTTTCAGCTAGCCAGGGCTTCTCTATGGATGACACAGTGTGCAGACTCACATTCAGAATCAACCTCCTTAACCTGAGTATTGAAATGAGAGAGGTATCTAGTCACGGCAGCCGTTCTGTCCATGATCTACTGACACAAAATGACCAGTTCAGTTTTCCTGATATGTAACCATTCAAAGCCTTGACTAGTTCTGCAGCTGTGGTGAGGGTTGGCAACAAAAGTGGATGTAACATATCCTCTGCACATTCTCCTGAAAATATCGCACACAAAAACAAGCATTGTTGCCTTATTGTCAACACCGATAGACTCATTGCCCTGGATTGCATATCATACTCATTAACCCTCTCTAACAACTGTGTATCCTTGACTGTTTCATCAATTCATCTAGTTATGGTCCCAGAAGAAAGAGGAACATGTGCCTCCTTTTGAACTGTGGCCTCCCTTTAAAGCTCATGGAAAATGTCCCCAGCAGCAGGCTGGATCAACTCTTCACCAATTGTGAAGACTTCTTAGCTTCAGCGGTATGGTCAGCCACTAAGAGTGATGCTTTCACTGCAGACACAGTTGATGAAGGGGTGGCCTTCAATAGTTGCCTCTGTTCTTCACATTCATGTTTTTCCTTTTGAAAAACTCCAAAGGCTTGTCTGTTAATGCTGGGTGGTTAGTCTCCAAGCGGCAAAGCAGTTTGGAAGGATTCATGGCTTTGTTGGGTAGCAGGTCACCGCATAGTGGGCTTGGAGAATGTGAATCACCTGTCACCATGAAGGAAGAATTTAAGTAGGACTCTTGATATTTTCTCTCAAATGCAGCTCTCATTTTGTTGGCAGTCTTAGAGTCTCTGATGTGTCACCAGTGGGTCTTTTCCTCCTTTGCAAAGAAGCGCTCCAGCGAGTTTGTTTTTTACTCATTTTTGTGAAGGTAGCTTGCGAGCTTACCAAAGCTGCGACTGAGACGTGAGCCCAGTGCAGGAAAGAGGCACAGATGAAGTGGCAAAGAAAATAATGGGTGGGCCACATGCGGATTAAAATAGGTGTCCAGTTCTGACTTATAGCCTGCCACCAGATGCAGCTTAATTGTCACTTGCCATTCACTGATAGGGTTTTGATATGGTTTTGATAATGAGTCCATGAGTAATTGACTTATTATGGTCTCTGTGCAGTCAAACCTCCCTGCTAATGAGAATCTATATTTGCAGCCACTCCCTAGCACTAACGTCAGTGTCTCGGCTTCATCTCAGATCATCAGGCATCAGATTCTCTCTTTTTTTTTTTTTTTTTGAGACAGAGCCTTCAGCTGTCACTCTGGGTAGAGTGCTGTGGCATCACAGCTCATAGCAACCTCCAATTCCTGGGCTTAAGCCATTCTCTTGCCTCAGCCTCCCAAGTAGCTGGGACCACAGGCGCCTGCCACAATGCTTGGCTATTTCTTGGTTGCAGTTGTCATTGTTGTCTGGCAGGCCTGGGCCAGATTCGAACCTGCCAGCTTTGGTGTATGTGGCTGGCACCTTAGCTGCTTGAGCTATAGGCACTGAGCCAGGCATCAAATTCTTACGAGCCTGCAACCTAGATCCCTCACATGTGCAGTTTCAGTAGGGTTCCCCTTCCTGTGAGAATCGCATGCTGCCACTGATCTGACAGGAGGCAGAGCTCAGGGGGTGATGGACCAGTGGGGAGCGGCTGTAAATACAGGTGAAGTTTAGCTTGCTGTGCTCACAGCAGCTGACCTCCTGCCGTGCAGTCTACTTCCTAACAGGCTACAGACCAATACTGGTCTGTAGCCTGGGAGTTGGGGACCACAGGTATAGTGGGTACAGATTTTCAGTTTTGCAAGATGAGAATAATTCTGGACACAGATGTTAATGATGGTTGCACAACAATATTGGTTTTGTTTGGGGTTTTTTTTTGCAGTTTTTGGCTGGGGCTGGGCTTGAACCCACCACCTCCGGCATATGGGGCCGGTGCCCTACTCCTTTGAGCCACAGGCACCACAGTTACACAACAATATGAATGTACTTAATGTCACTGTATGTGTAAATATGGTAAATTTTATGTGATATGTATTTTACCATAATAATACACACACATATAAAATATTAAAAAACAAAGCCAATGTTTCCTAACCTTTTTTTCATGATGGCTTCCCCCACAAATTCTCTTTTTATACTTCTTTTCTTAATATCCCCCAAGAAATGTTTACACCAGAGATATGCCATATATTCATTTGCATATATGTGTTTTGTATATGAAAAGAATAAGGTGTTTTTTTTTCCCTCAAGAACCACCCTGGGCATCAGCATCCCAATATAGAATGTGTATGTTAGACTTAGTGATATAAGATTAGAATTTATGAGGGAAAAACACAGGGTTTTTGACTGGCATATATTAAAAGCACAGGTATATATCCTAAATTATAGACTCAAAGAAACCTAGGTGTAAAATTATCGAGAACCTTTAATATCGTCATATGTTTATTTATCATTTTTTTAATGTAACATAGTTTCTAAGCACCTACTGTGTGTTAAGCCCCGTGCTAAGCCTGGGAACACAGTCTTGGACATAGATGTGTTCTTTGACTTTATAGAACATTCTAATCCAGTGAGACAAATATTGGTCAAAATTACATAAATAAATGTAAAGCAGTGACATAAGTAAGTTCCTGGAAAGAGGGATAGGGAGATTTGGTACTATAAAGACGCACCAGTGGGGGAAGTTTCTATGGAAGTGATGACTGAGCTGAAGTAGGAAGGTGAAAAGGCTCTAACTAGGTGAAGAGGAGGACAGGGAGATGTTTGCACAGAATGGGGACAGCCCACACAAAGCATGTGTGGCCAGAGGGAGCATGGCACCCACAGGACACTGAAAGGAGACAGGAGTGGCTGGGACACAGCAAGCCCCATGGGCCATTTGCAAGTACCATTAGATATACACTGTCTATTACATAGACAGTGATGTAAAATTGAACCAACCTTGCATTATTGACTTTTGCGGCCTGGTAATTTTTTGTTGCGTGTGGTATCCTACACATCATGAATACTAAGCAGCACTCATCCTTGGCCTCTACCCACTAGATGCTCCAGCAGCAACTCCCCTAAGTTGCAACACCCAAAAGTATCTCCAGACATGGCCAAAGGTCCTTTGGTGACAAAAGCACCCTCAGCTGAGAGGTACCGGGATAGAGGGAGGGAGGCGCATTTTACTTAACTCTCTTTACTTTGTTTTTTTTTTTTTTTTTTTTTTTTTTGAGACAGAGCCTCAAGCTGTCGCCCTGGGTAGAGTGCCGTGGCATTACAGCTCACAGCAACCTCCAACTCCTGGGCTCAAGCGAGTCTCCTGCCTCCTCCTCCCAAGTAGCTGGGACCACAGGCGCCCGCCACAACGCCCGGCTATTTTTTGGTTGCAGCCATCATTGTTGTTTGGCGGGTCCGGGCTGGGGATTCGAACCCGCCACCTTAGGTGTACGTGGCTGGCGCCTTAGCCGGTTGAGCTATAGGCGCCGAGCCAACTCTCTTTACTTTGAGGAAAGTAAAGAAGTTTGAAATTAGAATTATTATTAGAATACTGACTTTCAGGAAGTAGCAGATCCTAGTTATCTAAGAAAAATGACATTATGCTTGAAACACTTCTGCTTGTATTAGTTTTCTCTTTACTCTGTGAGCAATCAGAAGCCTTTTAAGGATGTTAAAGGTGGGTAGGGGATGACACGATCAGAACTGTGTTTCTAAAAGCTCCTCCTTCAGCTGTGAGGGAGAAGAGGGAGCACCCAGGCCGGGGGGACATAGAACAGTTGAGAGGCTAGACCAGTTTAGAAGCTCCCAGACCAGTCCTTAGGAAACATAATAATAGCTTGCAGTAGGGAACTAGGTGGTGAAAATAGAAGTGGATGGATTCCAGAGATGGGACTTGGTGATAGATGGGACAAGGTGAGTGAGCCAGAGGAGATATTAGGAATGATTCATTCTAGAGGAAGTGGATGTATGGTGGTGCGATTTAGTGAAATGGGAGAAGACTGAATTATTTGATTACATTAATTTGAGGGGTCTTTGAGATGCCCAGGGGAAGATGTCAAATAGGTTCTTGCGTGTGTGGGTCTAGAGCTCTCTGAGGCCTGAATTGGAGACATAAGTTTGGGAGCAAATGGTCTACAGGTGGTAATCTCAGCTGTGAAAGTCTATGCCACCTCTTAGGGAAGGAATAGAGGAGGAAAAAAGATGAAGATCTGGGATTAGGGCTTGAGTGTTGGCATCATTTCATGACCCGATAGAGAAAAATATACTTCATGATGTCAGAGAAGGAATGGCTGGAAAGTTGGGAAGATCCAAGAGAATGCGGAGTTCCCCATGCCCAGGGAAGAGAGCGAGTCAAGAAACTGAGAGTCCCAAACTGTGTCAGATGCTCCTGGGAGACTGAAATAGCTGAAGAAAGTTTGCTGGGTGTAGAGCAAGGGCCAAAGTTGGTCTTGGCGAGCATGGTTTGGTGGCTTGATGGGGACAGGGGCCAGATGGGAACGGTTGGAAGAGTAGGAGGTGATGAAATGGAGACAGAGGGGATAAATAATGTCCGGGGGGCTGGCCTGTGAGGTAGAGGAGAGACGCAGAGTGGAACCTGGGGAAGGATGTGAGGAGGTTTTAAAATGGAGGGACATGCACACGTTCCAGTGCCAGGCAGAAAGGCTGCAGCTGAGATGAGGTGGGCCGGAGTAGGAGTCAAGGGGTGTGGAGGGGATGGCCTTAGAGAAGGGAGCGCATCGCCCTCCGCTGTGGGGAGGAGGAGGAGAGGCATGAGCACAGTGGGGGTGTCGGGGTGGTGAAGTGGAGAAGTTTCTGCTGAGAGTGAGAGGAGACTGGGCCCAGGAGGGAGGGAGTTTGGAGGGTTGAGGACAGGAGAGAAGGGAGTTTGACATTATAATTATTATTAGAATACTGACTTTCAGGAAGTAGCAGATCCTCAGTTGTCTAAGAAAAATAACATTATAACTGAAACACTTCTGCTTGTATTGGTTTGCCATAACAAAGTACCACAAACTGGGTGTTCCCAGCAACCGAAATGTTTCCTCTCACGGTTCTGAAGGCCACAGTCCACAGTCAAGGTGTGGGCAGGAGCGTGCTTTGTCTGAAGGCTCTAGAAAGAACCCTCCTTGCCCCTTCTAGCTTTTGGTAGTTGTTGGCAACCCTTGGCAGGCTTTGGCTCATGCTATAATCTCTCCCTCTTCCTCACATGGCCTTCTCCCCTTTATGTCTGCCTCTAAATTTCCTTTTTTTTGTAAGGATGCCCAGTCACTGAGGTAGGGCCCATCCTAACCCAGTGTGACCTCCTCTTCACTTGATTACATCTGCAGAGTTTCTATTTCCAAATAAGGCCTCGTTCACAGGTTACTTGAATTTGGGACCCTATTCAACTCATCGCTAAGACATGCTAATGCAGTTTAGAAGTACTTACAGAATTAAAACAAAAACGTTTTTAACAGCTGATGGTTATGAATCTCCAGTGCCTCACACGCACGGTGTCACTCACATACACCCCACAGCTATGGTTATCTATGAGGTCTCCTCTGTCCCCACGCTACAGAGGAGGAAATGGAGGCTGAGAGTACAGTCCTGGCAGAGCCGGGGTGAGAATGGAGCCATTCCAGCCCCAGAGACCACTTTCAACCCCAGGCTCGGTTGCCTGTCTTTTCCTAGTTACTGCTGAATTAAACAGAAAAACAAACGCATCAGCTGGTTATCCACCTCAGGAGCTCTCTCTCCCTGCCAGTGTTCTTCGTTAATGTATTTCTTTGTTCGTATGTGTTTTCTGCATACAGTTGTGTCCGCATCCAGAATGCTTACAGCCGCGTGCTGACAGCCCGGCGGTGGGAGCCGCAGCCTGCTGCTCGGCCCTTTGGGGCTGGCAAAACACAGCTCTCCCTCTTCCAGTAACGGCTTGGCTTTCCTCCCCCAGGTCCACAGTGTCCAATTCATGGAGTTCTCAGAAGTGGAGAACCAGGATGACTTCTACAGTGTAGGAGCGGGCTGTGTCCACACCCAGGACCAGCAAGGGGTGTATGTCATGTACCAGGAGGCCTTGCGCGATCTCACGGAGCTGGAGGCGGAGCTGCTGCTCGTGGCCAGCCATTACATTGAGAAAGACAAGGGTGAGAGGGTTTTTTT